AAAACCCCATATTATTATCTCAGTAGATACATAAAAAGCATTTGACAAAATTCAACATCCATGTGTAATAGGCGTTGCCACAGATCAAATGTTCTGAATCACAATTCTGTCACTTCATTGCTCAAAACTTTCCCATTGCTTCCCATCCCCCATAGTGAAGTCTCAGTTCTTCAACCTGGTATTCAAGGCTCACTGTGATGTGTCCTCCATCCTGTCACCTACAATCCTGTTATACCTCTTCATTTACTACTCCATGTAACTACCCTGCACAATTCTTTGTACCTGATCTTTGCTTTCCTGCCACCTTCACTTTGTTTATGCTGCTCCTTTGCTCTAGGCTAGTGGTTCTCAACTCTGGCTGTGGATTAGAATCAACATAGAATTAAAATAAAAACAAAATATAGATGCCCAATTCTACCACTAGGGATTCTGACTCAAATAGTCTGAGGTAGGGTCAGAATATTAAAAGCTCCCCAGGTGATCCAATTGCATAAGTAGGGTAGAAAACCAATGGTCTAGAATGTTTCCACAGACTCCGAATTTTCACATGCACAACTTACCTATTCTTTAAAGCCTAGTCAAAATGATAGCTCCTCCACAAAACATTCCCAGATCATCCCCTGCTGTAAGCACGCTCTCTCTTCTCTGAATGCTTTGGTATCTTACTGGCCTCTGTCTTAACCCTCATCTGCAAGTCTTCCCTGATTTGAGTGTAAGTTCTTAAAACCATATTAGTAAGTCTTTTTTTGAATTTGTTCCCCAAATAGCTCATCATTTTAACACAGTAGGTACTGAGATACTGAATGAATGATTTGATGAAGTATTTTTAGATGGTTGACTAAACACAGGTATTCTCCATAGTTAAATGGTAATAAGGCATGAGTGGCTGATTTTAGGAAACATGGCATAAGGGGAGAAAAGTTTCCTTCTTATCTGAGCCTCAACTCCAGTTAACAACTTCTTTTAACCCTCTGACACCCTCTATCAACATGTCATTATCACCAACATTTCATAGTTCAGTCTGTTGTTCATGTAATAAGTAAAGAAGGATTAAGTAAATGAGTCAGCTCTTTTATTTTAGTCCTAATATCAACTTTCTTCCTGCTCAGTTCTGTTTGTCATAGATACTAACAGCCATAAAAATGGATCAATGAGGTAAAAATTCATCTCCTTCCATCAAAAGCCTACTATAAGAAAAAAGTATATTAAATCTATCTGAATGATTCACCAACAATAAAAAATAACTGAGTTGACTCTGTTTGTAGTGCTGTTTTCTCTGTCATCTTTGAAGAATTAACATTCTTTGGTTACTTAGAAAGTTATATCAATTGCTCTTAATTGCTCAGAACAAAAAAAAAAA